TTATTTATTCTATTTCGAATTTCTATTAATTCATTACTTATTGAATATACTATTGAACCCAGGTATTTGAACCCTTCAACTTTTTCGAATTTATGGTTTAACACTTCAAAAGTTTCTCTACCATTGTTTCCCCGGCCAAAATATACCAACTTAGTTTTTTAATCGTTTATTTCTAATCCTATTGATCGAGTTTTGTATATCATACCTGAATCATGAGTCATCAGCCCATCCCTCACGTTCAACAACAGTGACTAAACCATCTTTACAGATCCTAAAATATTTGTTCGCAATCTGGACTGTTCACAATTAGGACACAACCAGAGTCAGTACTACAATGTCTATGTAAGTCTTTTCATATGTGCGTGTGTAAACATGTTTTTGTTATTATTTTTATAACCTCACTTTCAGTATGCAGTTATTAAACTTGGAGTTTCGGTTTATAAACACACGATTTTGATCAAGGAATGTGTATTTGTTAACTTATTTTTGAAAGGTTTTAGTTTTCCTGCAAAGTGATCTGAAGGAAAGTGGTAATTGAGTTTAAGTTTGAGTATGGAATGTGAAATAATACCCATAGTAGGGAACGGAAACTTATTGTTTTGATCAATATAATTTATTCTCTACGACCACCAGAATAATCATGGGGAAATCCGCTTGCAAGTTGTACATATAATTGCTAATGAGTGGGAAACATACAAACATTTTATAGTAGGTGACGAATCTTACTCAAGATCAGTGTTAGACGTTCAGTGGTACCAAACTTTACCTTCTCGAGATGGCGAGTACGCTGGGATACGTGTAACTACAATATATCAGTGATTTTTTTTTTCAAGTACACAGGGAAGTTGCTTGAGAAACTGTGACTTACCATTCGGTTCTGGCGAAGAAGTATGTGGCTTGATGTTTAATGGCAATGTTGACTCGGGTCATTATAGCGTATCATTAACCCCAGGGTGTGAAAAGTACCCTACAAAAAGAAAAAGAAAAGGTTATCATTAACCGGGCGTAAAGAGACATACCGAACGAAAAAAATGTAGAGAACCATCGAACTAAAAAGGTAAAGAGCAGTGTTGGTGTTAAATGTGCTCTGGAAGTCCCTACAAAAAAATACCAACTCTTTTGAATTGGGGTCGTTAGATTGGATTTGTCACTACTTCAAATCTATGAATTTCGAGTCAGAACAGACTAACTGGGACACAAAAATGTTTTAGTTTTCCTGCAAAGTGATCTGAAGGAAAGTGGTAATTGAGTTTAAATTTGAGTATGGAATGTGAAATAATACCCATAGTAGGGGACGGAAACTTATTGTTTTGATCAATATAATTTATTCTCTATAGCGACAAGAACAATCATAGGGAAATCCGCTTGCAAGTTGTACAGATAATTGCTAATGATTGGTAAACATACAAACATTTTATCGTAAGTGATTAATCTTACTCAAGATCAGTGTTCGGGGTCCAAATTTTACCTTCTCGAGATGGCGAGTACGCTGGGATATTTGGAACTACAATTTATCAGTGAACTATACCCTAACTATATTTTTTTCGAGTAGGCCTACACAGGGAAGTTGCTTGAGAAACTGTGACTTACGATTTCGGTTCTGGCGAAGAAGTATCTGACTTGATGTTTAATGGCAATGTTGACTCGGGTCATTATAGCTTTATAAAACTTTATCATTAACCCCAGGATGTGAAAAGTACAAAAAGAAAAAGAAAAGGTAATCATTAACCGGGCGTAAAGAGACATACAGAACGAAAAAAACATGTAGAGAACCATCGAACTAAAAAGGTAAAGAGCAGTGATGGTGTTAAATGTGCTCTGGAAGTCCCTTCTAAAAAAATACCATTTTTTTTTAATTGGGGTCGTTAGATTGGATTTGTCAGTACTGCAAATCTATGAATTTTGAGTCAGAATAGACTAACTGGGACACAAATATTTTTTCCTTACGTTGTCACAAGGGGAAGGTAAAATAAACTCCTTATCAACATTTTGAGTTTATGGAAAATCTTATCAACAGCGACTATAAAAAAAGTATTAAGGGTCAAAAGAGACAAAAAATTATTTGAGTAAAATATAATACAAATCTGCATTTGACATGGCCAGTTCTAAGTCTCACTTGAATCAACATCTTTCTGGTAGTGGTAGTCTACATAGTTTTAAAATCCACGACTCCTTTTCCATCAAATTGGACCGTTAACACCCTCTAACATTGAACAAAGTATGCCAACTTTATATATACGACGTAAACACAGCCTTTACTCACAGTATGGGTCAAAGATTCTTGAAAGGCGACCAACTGCTGATGCGTGATTTACATGTAGGCTAAGTGACTATCTTTATTCCATACAACAAATGTAATGAAAACAAACGACAAATATAGTAATATAGGCTACTTGAGCAAATTATCTAAATAGCATAAATAGATGCTTATTAGGTTATCAGCATTGCCCAGTTCGTATACTATTTATTTTTCAAATGAAACTCGAATTAATATAAAACATTCATTCGGTTAAAATAATATATCGGTTTGATTAACATAAAATAGTTTATACAGGCAAACTATCAGTTCTATTTCATAAAAAAAATTAAACAACCCCTAAATAAAATACAAAGATAAACAGGATTTGTTAATTATTATTTCTTTTATTGCTGACAATATTCCCGTGGCGGAGCACGGGCGGTTAACTAGTAGTAAGTAATTTTACCTACGACAGTTTTTTTAAAGTAGCCATTTCAGTTTAGTTCCTAGAATTGAGTTTCACATAACAGCATTGTTTACTTACATAACTACATATACCAGCATAGTTTTAATTAACAACACGGGCAACGGACCAATGAAGTTGAATGATTGAGAGAGAAAAAGTAAAATTGTAATCTTTCGAACTTTAGCCAATCAGCTGTTTACCAATTTCATTGCTAACGATTGGGTCAATTTGATTGCCCTCGTAGAAGTTTTTAAGACACTTGCCAATAGCAGTGACAAATTAATTGTCCTAAAAAATGAGATCGTGATATTAACAAAAAAACGGATTGACACCATCGTGCCGTTGAGGGTAGGGGCCGTCGAAGTCCAGACCGTTCGTTCTGCCAAGTACCTTGGGATTATGGTGGACAGCAAGCTTAGCTGGCGGGATCAGATTTTCCGTACGGCGGACAAGGCCGCTAGGGTGGTCTCCTCTCTTAGCCGGTTGATGGCCAATGTCGGAGGGCCTCGGTCCAGCCGTAGAAGGCTGTTAATGTCTTTTGTCCAGTCTGTACTCTTGTACGGTGCTGAGGTGTGGGCAGACGCTCTCAATAAGGAGGTATATAGGATGCGGCTCGCCCGAGTGCAGCGTCAGGCAGCACAATCGATCTCTAGAGATCGATGGGCAGCACTAAGAGTTGCATCCGCCTACCGAACAGTGTCCGAACCCGCCGTCCTGGTGGTTGCTGGAGTCATCCCCGTCAAACTTTGGCGGCGGAGAGAAAAGCAATTTATCAGCGCCGTGGGGAGGACCAGGCACGAACAGAGGAACGCACCCGCACCTACCAGCTGTGGCAGGGGAGCTGGGAATAGGAGACTCGGGGACGCTGGACCAGGCGACTGATACAGCAAGTCCAACCTTGGGTTAATCGGCAGTGCGGAGAGGTGGACTTTTACCTCACCCAATTTCTGACGGGTCACGGATTTTTCCGGTCGTACCTGTTCAAGATGGGCAAAGACGTGTCGCCCGATTGCATATACTGCCCAGGCATTCCCGATGACGTGGAACATACCTTTTTTCACTGCCAGCGATGGGATAGGCCCCGCCTGGAGGCTCAACAGTTAGTAGGACTGCTGTCAGTGGACACGGTCATACCGATGATGACGGAGGTTGAGGACAATTGGACCTGTGTGTCACATTACATCCAGGGTATTCTCCTCGCCAAGAAGCTCGACCTTGACCGGGATGCGGTGTAGGTCTAAGTATCTAAATGAAGTATCTAAATGCTAAAAACGGTGAGAGCCCTGAGGGCTTATGTCACATGTTGGCCTGACTTGAAGTAATGTGACAAATAATTCCAGGTCTGTGTCCAACAGAGTAGAGGGGGTTTTTTAGTGAGTGGTCTGTGATAGATTCAGGAGTCTCACACTACAGGCTGGCTACCTGTGTGCGTAAAAGCATTTTCCCTCATCTCCCTTAAAAAAAGTACCGTAGTTAAATTTTCTACTCGTGTCGTTAACACTATCACGCGATCGTTGCGTAAACTTCTATTTACTGACAGTGCTCAAAAAAGCGCTCTATATCTTAAGAATACTCTATAGTCGGGACCACGTAAGTTTGCATTTGGTGACAGCCAATCAATAGACATGAGATGATTAATTAGTTTATTGCATGGATTTCCACTGGGGTGAAATTGGTCTAACGCAATTTCTCCGTACAAGTTTGCCACTAAACCCTACATACTTTTCCAATATATATTTATATAACCTACGGTATATTAACTAAGGTCAAACCAAAAAAATGTTCTATTCATGGAAAATAAATTGTGTTTCTGCCCAGAAACGTCGGAACTCCCCTAAACAAACAATAAAATATGTTGCAGCTTGAGATATATCTCAAGCAAGACTGAATCGTCTATTTCGACAGCTTGTTATATCGAAGCAGTGGACCGTGCGATGATGAGGTTATCAATAAGAAGAAGGTTCTTTCAAGTCTGAGAAGGAAATGGTGCTTGAGAAACGGACCTCAAAAAGGTCGTCAGTTTAGCATCATTAATTTTAAAACGATGATTTCATTTTTTGAGTTTCTAGCATACTACAGTTATTAACAAATTATACATTCCTTTACTTAAAATTCTGATGAAACATAAAAGTATTTCAAACCATGTGCTTTAGGTACAAAAATTATGTATGTTTAAAGGCATTGATTAAATGCTTCGGTGTACACTAATAAAGTTGCAGTCTTTTGTATTTCCTTTTTGACTACATCAACAGCTGTAAATGTATCCTAAATAAACCAAGAAAAGGTAAACAATCTCTAATTGTTAGACCTATTTGAAAATTTAAGTTAGACACATTAGTTTTCAAAATTCTTTGTTGTAAAAATTACTTGTTAACTAAATTATTACTGACGTTTGAGCATCGTATAAATCCAGTCTTCACTCATAATGGAATACAATGTAAGTTTTGTGAATATCCTTTTTACAACTATAATTAATTATGATAGTATTTGTGATTTACTAGTCCCTTTTACACAGTCATAACAACGGGCTACTTAGTGAAGTCGTAGAAACTTGTAATGTAACGTTTAAAGTTTATATTTTAAACAAAAGATTATTTTGAAGTAAATTAAATTATTGTTTTCCTATTCAAATAAAAGGGTGAGTTTTTTTTATCCATTCATGTCCTCTTAAACAATACGTATAGCCATAGACTAACCAACGTATGTTTTATCTATGGTACAGCCCAGTCAATTAAGGGGTTCATTCGCAACTAATTATGGGAAAGCTGGATTTTCCCTGATGATAGACCATGATGAGAGGCACATTTTCTCAAAAGTCCCCACTTCTCCTTCTTGTGCTTTCCCCCCCACCCCCCTAAACTTCCCATTTGCAAGCTTTCGCTATAACGCGCATATCTCTGTTGCTGTTCGTCCAAAATTGTTTTTTTTTGTTATGTTTGTCTATGTCATGTGATGTGTGTTATGTTTGTACTAAAATACTGTAAGTTTTATCGTAAAACTAATAATATTTAAAGGACCACAAAGCGATTAACTTATGAGTTCGCAGTTTTTTTCTGTAAATCTTTATATAGCATAATAATAACAAAATATTGTTCTCTAAATGTTGCAGCAAATAAAGTTAACTTTAAAATGATAACATTGGTGTATTGGTATTGAGTAATATGAGGCCCAAAGTAAAGGAGTCCTGCAAGCAAAGGGAATGCGCGCGCCTGGTTTCGCCATGCTGGAGTTGTTCTCTTGGCTTGCCCCGTTACGTGCTAATTAGCTAGCGCCTTTTCTCTCATAGGCCTACCGTTAAATGATTCTAGGCCTACATACAGGGTGGCTGAAAAGTAACTTGCACCCCCCTTAACTTTTCAACCTTTTGAGATATTTGAAATCAGTTTGCCGCAACCTTCTTAGATATGAAGGGCTACAAATGATGGTTAATTTTGGAAATATTTCCATTAGCATTAGCAGCGGGGGTAGGTGGTAGCTTAAAATTTTCAAACGGCAGTATAGACGAGTTTGGTATCATTTTATAGGTCTTGATGAAACTAAACAATCGACATAAAGAAAACCAAAATCGAACTATTAATAACAAAATGGTTCCCTAAAACGTTTCAAATCCAAATAATAATGAGGGTGGCTGAAAATTAACTAGCACCCCCTCCCCTCTCTTAATTTGTTTAACTATTTGGAATGGGTGAAATCGGTTTGCGGCATTCTGTTTACATATAAGGGGCTACAATAATAATAAACAGTTTTGAAAATTTTGCAATTAGGGGTAGTTGTGATGGTGGGGGAACCCAAAATTTTTTAATAGGATGTATGGTTGAGTTTTGTATCATTTTACAGGTCTTGACAAAACTAAACAATCTATATATTAAAAAATATCGGTTTTTCTTTTCCGAGTCCATCCGCCTCTTCTACCCGACCGAGTTTCATGATTTTGGTCTCAAATTAAAATATGCACGCGTAGATTTGCTATCAAGCATCGGCATCCATTTATCTGACGTATTACTCGAGTTATGCACAAACGTAATTTGCTCCCTGTACATTTCTTATGGGAGATAAATTTGGTTTTTCTTTTCCGAGTCCGTTCGGCTCTTCTACCCTACCGATTTTCATAATTTTGGTCTTAAATTAAATGTATGCACGCGTAAATTTTCCATCAAGCATCAGCATTCATTTATCTACAGTATTACTTGACCAAAAAACATAAATTAGATTTTTTTTTAATTGTTACTTCAGTTGAAGATATATTTCATAAGTTATAATTACGTAATCCTATATGTTTTGGTCTAAGAACCTTCAGTGAAATACCAGCTTTCATTTGAGCCCTTGATTATTTAGATCGGACGTACCTGAAGCGCGCTGCTGAATTCCAAACATAAAAAAATGTAATTATTTTGGGATTTACCGACGACCAGTGAGTTCGTTTGGCTCTTCTACCCGACCGATTTTAATGATTGAGGTCTCAAATTGAAGGAATGCACTCACAGATTTGCCATCAAGCATTGACATATATTTATCTATAATCCCACTCTGCTTATACGTAAACGAAATTTGCTCCCCGTGTATTTCTTATGGGAGTTAAATTTGGTTTTTCTTTGCCGAGTTCGTTTGGCGCTTCTACCCGACCTATTTTCTTGATAGAGGTCTCAAATTGAAGGTATGCACGCACGAATTTCACATCAATCATCGGCATATCTATCTTCTAATATATAAAATTCTCGTGTCACAGTGTTTGTCTGCAAACTCCTCCGGAACGACTTCACCGATCGTTATGAAATTTGGTGTGTAAATTCTGTAGGTATGCGAATCGGACGTAAACTATTTCCCGTTTCGAAATTCTTAAAAGGGCTCCACCCCAGTGGCTCTGGAGTTTCCCATGTTAACCTTATGAGAAATGGAATTAATGAATCTTAACAGCTGTTTCAATTAAACAAGTTGGTTCTGTTCTATGATGTTCAATAGCATTAAAGTTACAAGGATTACCAACAGGGTGCAGCACTATTATTTCTTTTACATTTATGACAACAGCTAATTTGCAACCAAAAGGTGAGTGAGCGTAGCGAACGAACTTCAACCTGGAGGCGAGTTAGCGTAGCGAACGAGCTAACCTGAAGGCAAGTGAGCGCAGCGAACGAGCTCCAACCTAAAGGTGAGTGAGCGTAGCGAACGAGCTCCAACCCAAAGGTGAGTGAGCGTAGCGAACGAACTTCAACCTGGAGGCGAGTTAGCGTAGCGAACGAGCTAACCTGAAGGCAAGTGAGCGCAGCGAACGAGCTCCAACCCAAAGGTGAGTGAGCGTAGCGAACGAACTTCAACCAGGACGTGATTGAGCGATGCGAACGAGATCATCTTGAAAATTAAACGTAACGGTACTTTCTTTCCATCGGTCTGTCTTAGGGGAAACCTATAACTTAGGCGATACGAAGTTCGCCGGGTCAGCTAGTATTTATATATAATCCCAGTCGGCTATCAGTACATATTATTAAAAATGTGTATTTAAAAAGTTGTTATGGAAAATGTCCAATAATGATAGATTAGGATTAGGGTATAATACTTGGTTATCAGGATTACTCGTCTATTAGAGAATCGATATTCTCATTGGAAGGTGGAACATTGAAACAAGACAAACCGTTGCAATTCTCGCACATTGGTGAACAGGTCATTCCTGATTTTCTGCATCCGCAGTAAGGACCACATGGAGTATTGCACGGGTCGCCGGAATTTTATCCCCCTGGAATTTTACCCCTTGGGCAAAGCTGACGTCACTATGACGTAGGAACCTGAGTGGCCAAAAGTTTGTTCGCGGCCGGGATTTTACCCCCGCGGATTTTGAAGTCTAATGAAAATAGCCAGAGCGTGATTTACGGAAATTTACGCGGAATTTTACCCCCTGTCCATATAACTAGCGTTTAGACAACTAAAGATGTACGGGCCGGATTTTTACCCCGGGATTTTTATCCCCGGAATTTTACCCCCGGATTTTTACCCCCCTCCCGAATTTTACCCCCGGATTTTTACCCTCAGATTTTTACCCTCCGGAATTTTACCCCCTGGCCGATTTTAGAAATTTAATGATTGATTTTCTTATTTCTGTTTTTAATTAATTGTAAACATTTCATTATTTAGTAGCCTATCTTTATTTATTTATTTTTTAATGAAATGTTCGAAACAATTATCATTAAGTTGATTGTTTATACGTCATATTTACCAGCTGTTGACTTCAAAAATCGAATCCTAATACTAGAATCTCAAAATTAAAATTAAAAACTTGTTCGATTAGTTAATGTTACAAATAAATTAATATACAGTAAGCTACTTAATAATAAAATGTTTACTATAAAATTAAAACAGAATGAAGATAATTAATCATTCTCACTAATTTATATATCTGGCCAGGGGGTAAAATTCCGGGGGTAAAAATCCGGGGGTAAAATTCCGGGGGTAAAATTCCGTGGATAAAAATCCGGGTCGTACATTCTAGGTTTTTATAATTTGATGTGTTCTGGTTAAATTCACAACCGTGAAAATATATGTTTAATTCAGCGTTTAATCCACCGAGCTGATGTCGCGAAACTTAAAAGTTCGCGGCCGGAATTTTACTCCCTGGTTTGTGACGTCACGTTTGCCCAGGGGGTAAAATTCCAGGGGGATAAAAATCCGCTACCCCTATTGCACTTGCATGACACAAGCCGGATAAGTTTTCGCTCAACAGGTGCGCTTAAACTATTTGTATTTTCAGAGCGTTCATGACGCCATCCCCATTCAGTAGGGTGAAGGTGTGTAACCACCACTGTACCTGAAGATTTACTCTCAAGAGATGTATAATGAGAGATCTACACAACGACTCTTGATAGCCTTACTATTGATTGAACTAGCATTTAAAACTCTTGTGATTAAGTTTTGACAGTCGACAACAAATCAGTTTACCATGATAATCTTCTAGCTGGGGCAACATAACAGCTGTAACAAGAGAGAATGCATTTCCATTCACATCGGCCAAGCGGGAGTCCAGATGGGCAACTCCACTTGGGAGCTCTACTGCCTGGAACATGGTATCGACAGGGATGGGCGTCTTATGTCGAACATAGATGATGCCACTGGGGACTCGACCAGATCTGGCTGTGAAACGTTCTTCTCTTTGTCAGAGAGTCACAGGTTCGTTCCTCGCGCCATCCTCGCTGATTTGGAACCTACTGTTATTGGTGAGTAAAATCTGTTCCAGAGATAGGCTTAGCTTACTTTTGTAATGTTGGATAGGATATAATATTGCCAATTTAGTAAATGTTTTCTTGAGTTGTGTAGGTATCAAACTATCCCAGTTCAAGTAAATATGTTATCAAATGTGGTAATTATGTCTATTGTCCATGCAAAATCTGTAATGTTTGTAATCAATTATTCTTTATTCTACTATTTTATAAGTAGGCCTACAAGTGGAGCCTTGCTATTTCGAGCAATAGGTACTGTTGACTTGATCAATTTAATGATTTCAAGTACCTTTGAAAATATCACCTACTTGCAGGTTCCTATCAAGCTCACTATAATTTATAAACTATCATTTCAACCTATGATTAATATCATAACATAAATTTTTGTATTCAAGGTTTTTGAAACAATGCATAAACTCATTCGTTCTAGCCGTAGGCCTACTATTTCGAGCAGTAGACACTGTAAATGTACGATTATTGATGTAGTTTGACTGAATTCGAGATTACTACCTCATGGGTCTCCGGTGACATATTGTTATTCAGACTCTATGAGTTTTGAACAGCCCTGATCCAAAGCTATAGTCATCTATCTATACAGGGTGAATTTTAAATGAGTTCCCCCCTACTTTTTTCTACATTTCTAAAGATATCATCTCCGGACCACGTCAGATCATTGTTGAGTAGTAAGAACTTCATTTTGACTGGGTATACATTTTTGGCCGCCATCTTGGATCCACCATATTGGATACCAAATTTTTCTTTCAAAAGTAAAGGTAGGGTTGTGACCCTTTATTTCAAACTAGAATTTTACGCTGATTACAATGCCGCAATTAGTTTTTAAAAATCTTGATCCGTTCTAAAGTTATGAGGACTTTTTATAACTTTATTTTTAGCGCATTTTAACATTGTGCATTTACAAACTAAGACCATAATCTCAAAATAGTGCTAGATAAAGATAAGTATACACCACCATTCATTGTCGACATAATTTCACTTGGTTATGACGCATGTAGTTTTTTCAGCCGCCATCTTGGATCCGCCATTTTGAAATGAGATCAATTTATTTAAATATGAAGGTGGTGTTGCGACCTATCATTTTGAACTACTTTTTTATACTGGACTCAATACCGCAATCCGTTTTTGGTTATCAAGCTGTCTTGATGAAATATTAAAATACTCTTATTTAAAATTTCAATATTTCAAAAACCAAAGATGCAAATGAAAAACGGATTGCGGCATTGAGTTCAGCATAAAAAAGTAGCTCAAAATGATGGGTCACAACACCACCTTCATATTTAAATAAATTGATCTCATTTCAAAATGGCGGATCCAAGATGGCGGCTGAAAAAACTACATGCGTCATAACCCAGTGAAAATATGTTGACAATGAATGGTGGTGTATACTTATCTTTATCTAGCACTATTTTGAGATTATGGTCTTAGTTTGTAAATGCACAATGTTAAAATGCGCTAAAAATAAAGTTATAAAAAGTCCTCATAACTTTAGAACGGATTAAGATTTTTTAAAACTAATTGCGGCATTGTAATCAGCGTAAAATTCTAGTTTGAAATAAAGGGTCACAACCTTACCTTTACATTTGAAAAAAAAACTTTGTATCCAATATGGCAGATCCAAGATGGCGGCCAAAAATTTATACCCAGTCAAAATGAAGTACTTACTACTCAACAATGATCTGACGTGTTCCGGAGATGATATCATGAGAAATGTAGAAAAAAGTAGGGGGGGAACTCATTTAAAATTCACCCTGTATAATTAATACGCTACATGAAACTTTGTCGGTTGAACTCCTCCGCCATTTCTTAACCGATTTTATCCATTGACGTCTCATTGGAAAGAGCGTGTCGCATAGATTTGCAAACTGGCCTTACATTTTTAAAAAAGTCCCTTGGGCTCTGCCCCAGTGGCTTTGAAAGTTCCCATGTTATCCTTATGGAGAACTTAGTTGTTTACATTTTGATCAGCTGTATAATTTAATTGCTGTTATTTATTTTTCAATTCAAAGTCTTTTAACCCTTTGCACTCGTTATTAGTACTTTGAGACAGGACCACACGCTTGGGTTAGTATTTTAAACCGATTACGAACGCAAGATAAGCGTTGAATGTAGTGAGATTATATGTATTGTTAGTTCACTGGCCTACTAAGATGAACAGTTTCTGTATCCAGGGCCATTTATTTGAAACTTGGTCCAATTTCGAAGCATCAAAAAGCTCCTGAAATTTGCTCAGCTACCCGATCTGTTGTAGACGAGGTGCGGACGGGGCCTTACAAGGGGTTGTACCATCCAGAGCAGTTGCTGAGTGCTAAGGAGGATGCGGCTAGCAACTTCGCGCGTTGCTACTACTCCATGGGTGGACCCATGGAGAGGGCCATCATGCAGCGCATCAGTAAGGTAACGGAGGACTGTGACGGTCTACAAGGGTTCTTTGTCTATCACTCTCTTGGTGGAGGCACCGGCGCGGGCCTGACCGCTCTGCTGCTGGAACAATTGGCTTGCGAATACCCGAAGAAAAGTCGACTAGAGTTCCTGGTCTACCCGTCACCGAAGGTATGTAGAACTGAATTAAAATGCACGTTCACTCTAATTATTTTTTCGTGTGATGTTTTTCTTTGAAATAAGTATATTATCCAAATGCTGTTTTTCAAGGATACCTGTGAAAACTGGTATGGTCTCAATGCGAATAGAAAAAAATAAATATTTGTAGAGCTTGCAAGTTCTGCTAATTATTAGACCGACATGTCATCCAAGTGGCTTTACTAGCAAAGCATTTAGGATTTAGATATGTACACAGAATATGACATTTCCTTCACATTATTCAAATTCAAATGATTCAAATGATTTATTTGGCCATTCAGTTCATATACAGGACAATAGGCTACGTCAACAATACAATAAATAATAAATAACATGCCAAGCTTCTTCTAGCATTCTTGACTGACAAAATTAAATTAAAAGCTGAAAAAAAAACACATGCAGGATCTCAAAAACATGCAAAGCAATGCATGCAACTAAAAATACAAATAAAATGAAAACCACATGCTGCAAGCCATGCAAGGCAGAGAAAAATAAATAAATTTACATTTTTGTAATACCTCTACTGGACTACTGTGGGTTCAACCCAATAGTAACAAGCTGTGCATTCCAAAACTCTTTAATGGAATAGAATGGATTGGCAAGCATCCAAGCTTTTAGTGTGGTCGCAAACTTGTTCGGTAAGAGTTGTCTTACAGTTATGGGTAAGGCATTGTAGAACCTTATTCCTGCAACAGGAAAGCAGTTGAGAGTTAAATCTAGTCTAACTCTATCTCTAAAAATATTTTCATTGTTCCTAGTGCTATATTGTGAGTGGTGCACCTAGTCCAACTGTTCTAGTTGTGTCTATTAATGTGAAATACACACACAGGTCAGCAGCTCAGTAGTGGAGCCCTACAACAGTGTCCTGATGACACACAAGTGTATGGACAATGCGGACTGTTCCTTCATAGTAGACAACGAGGCCCTCTACGACATCTGCATGGAGAAACTGGACATTGAGAGGCCGACCTATGTGAACCTCAACCGTGTCATTGGTCAGGTCAGTCTGAGTATGAGTAAAGTAGTCATCCGAGGGTAGTGTAGAGATTCTATGCTAGAAGTAATAAATGCAATTTTCAATGTGCTTATGAACACTGAGCTTTTTCAGTATACGTAAACGCATTTTTATCTCCTCCTGATACAGTGTGTAAATTAAGTCTTAAAACAAATCTGTATTTTTAAAACCCAAATATTGAAATATTATATTTGTGGCAATAATTGTCCTTTTGAAATGAGAGACACACAATTTTTTATTGAAATTGGATTATAATTGAAGAATAAAAGTGTACATGACTAAAAGAAATTGTTTTTCGGAAACAACAAAAGTAGGCTACTTCCTTCAAGTAGGACCTTGGGCATGCTAAATCTATCTTAACTAACTACTTAATTTAACGCAGTAAAACTTAAAAATATTTTTTCATACATATTTTTATTGGTATCTACGTGTTTAGGAAAGTCTGTTCTACAAAACTAATTAAAAAAATACAAAAATTTAAATATTTGATAGCGGACCCTCTCACGATTAGTAGTAGGACCTCCGGGCATGTTAAATTAAGCTGCAAGAGTTAATAGAAGTCGCTGTAAAATTTAGAAATATTTTTTCTTTCTTATATAGGCCTATGTTATTTGAAATAAGTCTGCTCTACCAAAATAAATAATAAAAAATTTAAAAAAAAATCATATTTGACTGCTGTCTTACAAGAATCAACATTGTCTTAAGAGGATACAAACCCTTTAAAAATATATAAATATATGTTTAAAAATAACGCAATAATAGATTATCAACTTTGGTACAGTGTAACTAACTGTTCAATCGTACCTATGTGAGGGGGTTCCAAAATTAGCGTGTTAAATTGAATAAACGATATTATGTAATAAAATAGCCTACTATATTTTTGAAACCCCATACGTTAGGAACACTTTCAGTTTTGTGTTGTATTTTTTAACCTTACATATATTAAATATGAGAAAAATCCACAATCCAAGGTTACCTCTCTCCTTTTGGACATGTTGGATATCGACTATTAACGTTGGTTTCGGTAGTTAAATGGCAACATAAGGCGTCGATTAAAACCTACTTACCTATTTTTTTGAATATAAAATTAGTAAATACCAACATGTCGGGCATTTCGTAATTTGTTGTGAAATAAATTAACTATGGGTGAGTTGCAAAGTAAAGTTACTATTCCTAAAAATTGATAAGCAGATGATGGTGATGTGATGGCGAAATGCAGTTTCTTGTATGCTTCTACATTTCCATATAAACCAGAATACATTGTTACGATCATTAATGATGCGCTTTTCGGCTGTAAGTCAGCCTTTTATGATGTTTAACACTGCTAAACGAGCTTTATATATCTTCGCAAAGTTTCTAACTGCAATGAAAACACCCTTAATCTGGATAACGATCTGCAGAGAACTCGTTTTACAAAGCATTTATGGGTGTTCTACGTCAGTTTAGATCGTGTTTTACAGGGCCTTCAGACAATTTCAAAACATCAGGTCCCTTTTTGTATAGTTTTTACTATAGTTAACTGTTTTAGTGAACTTCTATTTATTAGGGGAGTAGATTAATATTACCACAATCTTTATTGTAAGGGTAGGTTTGGGACTGATCTACCTTCCAGTTTAAGAGTCCCCGGGATCAAAATTTACACATCGTTCGAATCAGTTTTTATTATACTTTTTCGTATATGCGTTGTGTAAAAGTTGATTGATTTCGACGAAAGTAAGATTTATGTTTCAACAACATTATTTATTGAATTATTTTGCAAACTAGAACCAGCCAGACACTAGAATCTTTAAATAAGGGTATTCATGATGGGGTGGTTTTGTATTTCACAAACAGGAATTTAATTGTTTGTAGTAGTTTTAGCGAATTTCCCTACCAAGAAGAAGTTATTTAAAACTTACATAACTAGAAAATACTTTCCCACCAATCGAACTTTGTAAAAAAGTTTTAAGTTATGGTATAACTTACGCTAATTGTTGCCTCCAATTTTTTGTTACCTAATAACCTCAACTGTTTGGCATTAAGAATTTACTCTGCTTGTTTACACAATCTGGAATTTATAATTTTTAGATAAACTTGCATAACAATACATCGTGGGTTCCTCAATGTCCACATATTTATGATATATTTATGATATAACTGATCTAATGTCATATCATACGCGTATCTAAGTGTAAATTAAAATGTTCTTCTTTTAAAAACTTTTCCACAGGTTACCTGTAATAATCACAAAAGTCACTGGAGATTATCTCAGTTTGAATGTCTATTCTACAGTTTTTTTAGTCTATAAACTATTTCTAATGTTTGCAATTACTTAGTACTTTTATTTAATTCATCCGTAATAAATACCTGAACATGACCTAAATATGATGTTTCAGACGGTATCAGCTGTTACGGCTTCCATGCGGTTTGACGGAGCTTTGAATGTGGACATGAACGAGTTTCAGACCAACCTCGTTCCGTTCCCCAGGATCCACTTTCCTCTCATCTCCTACGCACCGATCATCTCCAAGAGTCGTTCCTTCCACGAACAGTTCTCTGTCGCAGACATAACAGCCTCCTGCTTCGATACTTCTAATCAGCTGGTGAAATGCGACCCCAAGAAGGGCAAATACATGGCGTGCTGCCTGCTCTACCGAGGTGACGTGGCTCCCAAAGATGTCAACTGTGCGATCGCGATGATGAAAAATAAAAAGACCGTTAGTTTCGTGGACTGGTGCCCAACAGGGTTCAAGGTAGGTTTGATGTTATTATAATCAAATAAATAAAGGATGTTAATGGGCGTATTTGAAACCAAATAAGAGAGTAGGGGGAAATTAGAATAACGACAGATAATAGCTGTATAGCGTTTAATTTCAACAATAGTGTAGGGAATGGCTTAGTTCGTTTCCTCTCCCCTTCAAATAAGAAGGGCGCTCTTTCAATTCCAAGCGAGGTTGTTTTTAGACGTAGATGCTAATTGTATCTTTAAATAGTAAACACAGCTGATGCTGGGCAAGTGGTAAACTAATTGATGGCAAGATAAAGTAAATTAGAACGAGGAAAGAGCTGCTGATCGTTTTTCTCTTGATCTAATCAGAGCTTGGAAAGCGATCATTTTCTTTGACTTCAGCTGCCATTGGAATTGGTTAGTTTATATACGGATTGAAACATAGATACATACATTATATATATCCATACATACATTATATACGGATTGAAACATAGTGTTAGTAGTCCGAAACAACCACAGTTAACATAATTATGTTAATAAAACTGTTTTTTAGTCCGTATCTATAAAAAGTATTACTTCTTCACAACATTAAATAACTCCGTGATTAGCATTTTATGTTTGGTGTTAGATTTATAAAAGATATATTTAGCAATTAGATTTATAAAATACGTCTCTAAACACTATTTGATGCATCTACTCTTATACTGTAAACATTTACAAAATGATGGATATAAAATGTGCAAATATTACAATGGTAATTTATGTCGACCAGTCACGCAGCCCTGTTTGTATATTTACCGTCTCATAATTACTGTATTTACAATTCGAGTGTAAACATATTTACAAAACAAAAAGGGGGAAGTTGTAGGCTAATTGATATAATTTGTATTATTCACATTACCCTTAAGTTAGTTAAATGTAAACAGCATTGCATCAGTTTAGATCAGTACAAGTTAAAGTTATGTTTAAGAAAAATACATTTGTAAAAGTTTAGATCGAAAAAAAAATGTATATCGAGGTTTTTGGACGGAAATTCGTAATGAAGAAAAATTAAGGAAATTTAGCTACTGTACTACTACTACTGTTGGCCCAAATATTAGAAACAACCAATTAGGCCTAGCTTGTTTTCATTATGGTGACAACACATAGCCTATGATGTTTTTTTAATTATTATTTTGTTTAAGGTCGGGATCAATTACCAAACACCCTCAATGCCCTTGGACGGCGACCTTTCCAGCACCAAGAGAGCGGTGTGTATGCTGTCAAACACCACGGCTATTGTTGAGGCTTGGAAAAAGATCGACAGAAAGTTTGACTTGATGTGGGCGAAGAAAGCTTTCGTACATTGGTACAGGAACGCCGGAATGGAGGAAGCTGAGTTCCTTGAAGCTAGAAACGATCTCGCTGTTTTGGAATTAGATTATCTGGAAGTGAACAAAACATTTGACGACTTCGATTATAGTAGCGTTGAACACTGATGTCCCGTCTCCCATGAAATACATGAGTGGTAATTAATTGTGATATATTGGTCCATAAAAAGAAAAATATTTATGATACGTGTTAATTAGTTTTGTAGACGTTAAATGTAATTGAATACAACGCTTAACAAATTAAAAAACCTGGTGTCCATTTTCTTGGGGGTTTTTGTATATAGGGATGTACTACGAAAAGGTAAATATTTCCCCCTGCTGACTAATGACGGCGAATACCATGGACTGAAAATCGTAATTTGAAACGCATTTTACTGATTCCCTTTATAATAGTTATTAAGTAGAGCACAGCATTGACTATTGGATACGAAGAAGACATCCCATCCGATCAGCTGTCGCCAATTTTTTACTAAAAAAGAATGTAGTTGTGTGAGCCAATCACAGATAGCACTAGTGTCTAAAACTCTATTTTGTACCTTATTTTTCGTTACTAACATAGTTGCTGGGAGACAACAGTTGCTATAGCTCATAAAAAGTCATTTTGTCAGTTTGACTTGAAAAAAAAAAACCATCATGTAATTGGCATAAATCAGTAATTTAGATCAGCTCAATCTGTAGGTGGCTCACATCAACTAAGACAAATTTTATTAAGAAACTGACTACAACCATTGACTATTGGATACAGATTGTTGTATTAATAGTCAAAGCTACAATTTAAACATGGAGATGGAATGTCTAGTTAGCCTGCACCAGCTAGCGGCTTAGCCCGCCAGGATAAAGCCGTAAATGTCATGCAACGTAAGAAATAAAAAGTATATTAAATGTAAACCAAAAGAGGTAACACAACTGAATGCTTAGCAGTTTCCAGTTTTTTAACTTTAAATTTGTATTGTGGCATATGCATTTAAGCTCTTATGGTATTCCTAACAGTTAGTTATCCGTACCATTCTTAAGTTCACCTAAAGCTATTACCCTTTACTTATGTTCTGTGTTTTCAGTATCTACGGCTATTTATATTTTGAAAATTCAAACAAACAAAATAATAGTGCTACACGCCGTTGTTAAACCTTCTAACTATTGAATTCTACTCAACATCATAGAACCCAACTTATTTGTTTAGTTGAAATAGCAGCTGTCATGATTCTTTTCCTACATTCACCTGACAAAGTGACCTTCCTTGCACTGATTATAGCTTAGAAATATGCTAATTGCTACATCCACTCTCTATTGCCGCACAGTTTTTTTTGCCTGACACCAGTATTCCAACCAAACAACACAAAACAGCGTGCTTTTATTAGGCACGTAATACGTGTACGCTTTTAAATAAGTTGGCAACACTTAAAGATATTACTACTACGATCAGCTGGTGCAGCGTTTTCCATTTAATCCAATGTTTAGATTTAACCTAACCTAAAAAAGTGTTGTACAGTCTTTGAAAGACTAATTATTTATATGTTTATTAATAGTAACTGTAGAAGAAATAAAATGTGCAACGCGAGTGCAAAGTGTGCCACTTCACACACTAATTGCACAAATATCTGTTGTAGTCCAGGCAATGAAGATAGCGGAAAAAATCATGTACTTTTAAATTGAGTCCACGCCAATCCCTGGAAAAAAGATTTGAAAAATCACCTGTTAATGACCCTTTACTCAATTTACAAAACATTATCTGTAAAAATGATAAACTAAGTGTGAAGAATTATAATTTGAGAATATTACAAAATAATATTTTCTTCTACTTTCCACAAACAAAGTTTTGTGAAAAATATATTATTACAATGTAAGACAATTATTTAACAAATTATCAATCAGTATTCAAAACTTAAAATTAAAAGTATACAAAACAAAATTAAAAGAAATGCTCACTGAAGATCCAATCTAATTTAAGACTTCCATGAAAAAATGTATAAAAAAGTAATAATAAAGAGTTTAAATTAAAACTAAACCTTAGAATGTATTAATTGTAAAGTCAATACAATAAAGTATTATTGTATGAGCCAAATTTGGTACCGTTGTAGGGGAAGGGTCCCTAAACAACGTACTGGTGGGAGTGGAGCTAAGGGGACTTCGGGGCTCTAAAGGTCCCTTTATTAGGTTTTCGTTATTAAGTAAAAATTTATGGCCTTCAGAAAAAAAAAACCGTTGTCCTATTTTTAAAGATTTTACGTACATTTATCTACAAAAAAGATACCAACTATTTGCTAGGATTATTACTTTTTGAGATATGGAGGAGATAACATGGAAATTAGTATTTTAAATTTATTTTTATTACTAATAATGTGTTTTAATGATTAATAAAACACGACCAGTCCAAATTAATAACATCATGTCAATATTGTAATGTTATATCTATAACCTCACCACAGCAAACCTGAAGACTAAGCAAATTTCCAATTACCGGTACCTATTTGGATTTTCACAAAATATTTCATTGAAATTGTCAGAACTATTCCCTATTTAAATAACGTAACATTTTATGAATGATCAAATACTTAGATTAAATTAAATTTTATTATTATAACAGATAATTGGTTTCTTTGTCTATGTTATCTATATAAATAAAATAAGAGTTTTGTCTGTACATTGCTCAGAATCATACATTTTTAGGTTATTTTTACGTTTTATACATTAAAGAAGCCGAAACAAGTCTCATCTAAATTTCTGTCTGTCTGTCTGTCTGTCTGTCTGTCTGTCTGTCTGTCTGTCTGTCTGTCTGTCTGACACACTCAAGATGGCATTTTACGCAATCTTCTCCAGGAAAACGAGAGTACCTATCAAGACCCAAGTCATTTTAATGTATTCACTGGATTGGCGAGAGTGTCTTTAGCCATTAAAATATGGTCTCACTACTTTGTAATTAAAATTACGGCCGTTCAAAAATGCAGTTTTGTGCGATTTTTGTCAAGTTTTCTTCCAATTTGTATCACATAATCATCTATGAAACAACGAACAGCTGTTCGGATCAAGATTATTTTTTCTAGCTGTCACTGAAATGTTTATAAATGTTGTTTACAAACACCACAACCATTTCCGATCACGTTTTGAAGGCAAATCCCATCCAAGTGAGATTAAAAACGTTTTTATTACATAAAGGATTTAATTAATCGCAAGTGGAATAATATAGTGTAGCCGTAAATTAAATAACTAGGCATCATCCAGGTCAGGAACCAGAAATATGTGTATAAAATTGTTTTGGAGTTTTGATAACCAGAAAGAAGACATTGAATCAAGATTGAATCAGTGTTGTATACGGCTGGGAAACTTAAATTTACTAATGACCGTCGCCAATAGCTTAGAAACAATTTTCCACTCATTGACGGCTCTTCAATGGCGGTTGTGTAAAGTGTAAAGCAAAAAATTACTACTGCAGTAGGTGATTGTAACAGAGGTTTACGGATGATGCTGAACTCGATTTTCCAATGTGTCACTTTCTGTTCCTACCATTGACTATATAAAGTCAATAGTTCCTACTCACCGTGTGATGCAATCGCTGGACCATACAGCCAATAGGCCCATAGCCCTTCTCTTGGGTACGCGTGGTACGTATGCTTACCCAATTATTTATAACAACCCCTTCGACAACGATCCTTGATACCGGTACTTTTCCATAGAATACACGGCCTACCTAGGTACTTAAGAAATAAAATTATAAACATCCAAAAACCCAACGTTGTGTGATTTTTGTCACATTTCCTTATAATGTTAATATATATACCAGCAACCATTGTTTAGAGAATACGTAATCTATTAAATAACAGAAAGTTATGTTGTATAAGGTTTTTTTTCAAACTGACACCGATAAGTTTACATTAAGAGTTGTGTACAAATAAAGCAATTAATGGGAAATAACTTTGATTGTCGATAACTTTTTACGAGAAAATCCAAAACCAAGAGATCAATAACCTTGATTAACGCATATAATTGGTCGGCTGTACTACAGTTCTTAACTGTAAACGTTGGTTTTTGGTACGGTACTGGTTCTTTTCCTTTTAACCTTTAGTAGCAGCAAGAATCATTTTTACGTACCAACACATCACAGTAATTTAGAAATTAGTTATCGTTGGTGTTGCACCTTATTTATTACAGGCGTAGGCCTATTCAATTTAATTGATGTCTTAACTGTATAATTTTTGCTTTTTCTGTCTGGATTCCAAAATGTTATGCTAAGAAAACTATAACGCATTTTAGTAAAACATTTATTCAGCAAACCATCATGAATTGTTCAAACACTTGAACGTTGTTTATGTATCAATAGTTCGTGGCCTATTTTGGTAATTTTTATTACAAATTACCAATCTAAATCGTCTATAGTAGGCCTACTGTACTTCATTTCATATAGCAAACCGATTCAGATAGCATTTCGACAGAATTTCGAGTCATCTCCGGTCCAAGCAAATATAAATTGTTATGATCAAATTTTATGGCATTAACAAAGATTTCAAGTACTAATTTTATATGTACCTTTTTATGCTTAAAGCGTAGCAGATTCCCTAATTAAGTTCGGTATTTTTGTGTGTATGTATGATGGTAACGCATTAATGTCCTTGTTTCTCAATGTTTCACGGAAAGGACAAGAGCGCCTTGATAATGAAAATGTCAACCCGAATAAAGTGTTAAATTAAGAGGTTGAGGTAGTAAGTACCTTAAATACTTTTAACCATTATGTTATAGTCCTTTAAATTCTGAACAAAATTGTAGAAATCCCATTTCCGTATATTTACTCTCACCGCTTACACATAATAAAGGTTGTTGACAAACTTATGGGAGAAAGTATGTGTCAGAATGCTGATACCGTTTATTTAGTTTAATCATTGGATATAACATATGGACCAACAAGATCCGGGTGACATTTAATTGAGAATCATTAGTTTTGGCTTGAAACTGTCAGATACTGTATTTGCGAAGGAATAGTTTTGTCAGCATATCTGAAAGTATGCAAATCAACTGCTGTGCTTTATATAAGAAGGTTTTAACTGACTATCATAAGATCCCCGTGCGTAGAACGGGCACACAGCTAGTTATTAATAAATTACTTAGATTAATTTGCTGTTACTGGGAAGGTAATAAAAGGAGTTTTTTTATGTTAATAGTGTAGTCTTCTATATATTTAAAATCCAATGTATGTTTGTATGTATGTATGTTTGTTTGTATGTATGTTTGTTTGTTTGTTTGTCCTTTATGGACTACG